TGGCCTGATAAGGCTGCTCCCCCCTCAGGGGGAAGTGATCAAAGAGCAGGCCAATCAGATTATGTCAGAGGCAGTCCCTCTTCCCATTAATATGTAACCCACTTGGACACTGAACTGCCATGGGCTACACCTGTGCAGTGGTTCCAGGTCATCTCCACGAATAGTCCTTGGTTGGAGTATGAGTCTCTGGGAAGTTCCCTGTGTTCAAATTATCTTGTTCTGTTGCTCTCCTTGTGGAGTTCCCGTCCCCTCTAGCTCTTACTATTTCCCACTTCTTACATAGAATTCCATTCACTCTGCCCATCAGTTGGCCATCAGGCTCTGCATCTGCTTTGACAGTCTATACTGCAGAAGCTTTCAGAGGCCCTCTGTGGCAGGTTTCAAGGTTGTTTCCTGTTTTCTTCTGGCTTTCAGAGGCCCTCTGTAGCAGGTTCTGAGGTTGTTTCCTATTTTCTTTTTCTTCTGATGTCCATCCTCTTTGCCTTTCAGGATGGGGATTGAACATTTTAGTTAGGGTCCTCTCTTTTGCTTAGTTTGTTTAGATGTACAGATTTTAGTGGGTTTATTCTACATTGTATGTTTATATGAGTGAGTATATACCATGCGTGTCTTTTTGCTTCTGGGACAACTCACTCAGGATGATCCTTTCCAGGTCCCACCATTTACCTGCAAATTTCATGATTTTCTTATTTTTCATTGCTGAGTAATACTCCATTGTATAGATGTACCACAGTTTCTGCATCCATTCTTCAGTTGAGGGGCATCTGGGTTGTTTCCAGCTTCTGACTATTACAAATAAAGCTGCTACAAACATGGTTGAGCAAATGTCCTTTTTGTGTACTTGTGCCTCTTTTGGGTATATGCCTAGGAGTGGTATGGCTGGATCTTGAGGAAGCACTATTCCTAGTTGTCTGAGAAAGCGCCAGATTGCTTTCCAGAGTGGTTGTACCAGTTTACATTCCCACCAGCAGTGGAGAAGGGTTCCCCTTTCTCCACAACCTCTCCAGCATGTGTTGTCCATTGAGTTTTTCATCTTGGCCATTCTGATGGGTGTAAGGTGAAATCTCAGGGTTGTTTTGATTTGCATTTCCCTAATGGCTAATGAGGTTGAGCATTTGTTTAAGTGCTTCTCTGCCATTCGATATTCCTCTACAGAGAATTCTCTCTTTAGCTCTGTTCCCCATTTTTTAAGTGGATTACTTGGTTTATTGTTTTCAGCTTGTTTAGTTCTTTATATATATTGGATATGAGTCAGATAAAGGGTTGGTGAAGATTCTTTCCCAATCTGTAGGCAGTCGTTTTGTTTTGATGACGGTGTCCTTTGCTTTACAGGAGCTTTTCAATTTCATGAAGTCCCATTTATTGATTGTTGCTCTTAGAGCCTGTGCTGTTGGTGTTCTGTTCAGGAAGTTTTCTCCTGTACCAATGAGTTCTAGGGTATTCCCTTCTCAGCCTTTTTGTCTTTTGTGTACAGTAGGGCTTCTGATTTTTTTTTGAGTTGATTTTGTATCCTGCCACTTTGCTGAAGGTGTTTATCAGCTGAAGGAGTTCTCTGTTGAATTTTTGGGGTCACTCATGTATACTATCATATCATTAGAAAATAGTGACACTTTGACCTCTTCCTTTCCGATTTGTATCCCCTTGATCTCCTTTAGTTGTCTTATTGCTCTGGCTAGGGACTTCAAGTACTATGTTGAAGAGGTATGGAGAGAGTGGGCAGCCTTGTCTTGTCCCTGATTTCAGTGGGATTGATTTAAGTTTCTCTCCATTTAGTTTGATGTTGGCTATAGGCTTGCTTTATATTGCCTTTACTATCTTTAGGTATGTGCCTTGTATCCCTGATCTCTCCAAGACTTTAAACATGAATGGGTGTTGGACTTTGTCAAATGCTTTTTTAGCATCTAAGGAGATGATCATATGGTTTTTCTCCTTCATTTTGTTTATGTGGTGGATTACATTGATGGATTTCCGTATGTTGAACCACCCTTGCATGCCTGGGATGAAGCCTACTTGGTCATGGTGGATGATATCTTTGATGTGTTCTTGCATTCGGTTTGCAAGTATTTTATTGAGTATTTTTGCATCAATGTTCATAAGAGAGATAGGTCTGAAGTTTTCTTTTTTTGTTGGATCTTTGTGTGGTTTAGGTATCAAGGTGACTGTGGCTTCATAGAATGAGTTTGGTAGTGTTCCTTCTGTTTCTATTTTGTGGAATAGTTTGAGGAGAATTGGTGTGAGCACTTCTTTGAAGGTCTTGTAGAATTCTGCGCTGAAGCCATCTGGTCCAGGGCTTTTTTTGGAGGGGAGACTGTTAATGACTGCTTCAATTTCCTTGGGATATATAGGGCTATTCAGTCTTTCTACCTGATCTTGGCTTAATTTTGGTAGATGGAATCTGTCAAGAAAATTATCCATTTCATTTAGATTTTCAAATTTTGTGCCATATAGGTTTTTGTAGTATGACCTAATAATTGTTTGGATTTCCACAGTGTCTGTAGTTATGTCCCCCTTTTCATTTCTGATTTTGCTGATTTGGATAGTTTCTGTCTGCTTTTTAGTTAGTTTGGCTAAGGGTGTGTCTATCTTGTTGATTTTCTCAAAGAACCAGCTTTTTCTTTCATTGATTCTTTGGATAGTTTTATTTGTTTCTAATTGATTGATTTTAGCCCTGATTTTGATTATTTCCAGCCGTCTTCTCCTCTTGGGTGTATCTGCTTTTTTTTTTTCTAGGGTTTTCAGTTGGGCCATTAAGTTGTTTGTATGTGATGTTATGAATTTCTTCTTGCAGGCACTTAGTGCTATAAATTTTCCTCTGAGCACTGCTTTCAATGTGTCCCATAAATTTGGGTATGTTGTGCCTTCATTTTCATTGAATTCTAGGAAGTCTTTAATTTCTTTCTTTATTTCTTCCTTGACCCAGCTGTCATTGAGTAGTAAGTTGTTCAGTTTCCATGTGCGTGTTGGCTTTTTGTTGTTTCTGTTGTTGTTGATGTCCAGCTTTAGTCCATGGTGGTCAGATAGTATACAAGGGATTATTTCAATCCTTTTGTATCTGTTGAGGATTGCTTTGTGACCCACTATATGGTCTATTTTGGAGAAGGTTCCATGCGGTGTTGAAAAGAAGGTGTACTCTTTTGAGTTTGGGTGAAAAGATCTGTAGACGTCTATTAGGTCCATTTGATTTAGGGATTCTGTGAGTGCTTTTATTTCCTTATTTGGTGTCTGTCTAGTTGATCTGTCCCTTGATGAGAGTGGGGTGTTGAAGTCTCCCACTATTAAGGTATTAGGATCAATGTATGATTTAAGAACCAGTATTTTATTTTATAGTATTTTATTTCTTCTTACTCTGGGCCTATGAGATGGGCCTTGGCATTTTTATCTACAGGAATTTAAGGCTCAGAGAGATGGACTGTACATTCCACATTTCTTCCTTATCAAAATGAGATTGACCTAAGTGACATTTTAGAAACTTATGTTTTTCACTCTTGAATACATGAGATGTTTAAGCATTCTTTCACCAGGAAATTTTAATATGAAGTTTTTTTTTTTCATTTTGTTTTAGGGTACTGGGGGGGATGTCAAAACTCTGCTATGCACTTGCTCTACTACTGAGCCATACTCTTAGTTCTGTATTTAATGTTTTTTTTTTCCCTTTGCTGTACAGATCTGAATGAAGTAGGGAGGTAGGGGACAGATAGGGAGGCCCTGAATCAAATTAGTCATACTTTTTAGCATCTAGTGTTCACAGTTTTTTTGCATTGATAACATGATTTTGACTGTCTACTCAGTATGTGATTATAAGATTGACCACAATTAATAAATCTAATGGGTTTTCTATTATTGGACACTGAGGTTGTTTCTAATTTTTGAATATTACAAACCAGGCTGTGATGAATATCCAACACACTAAATCTGGGCAGGTGCTGGCCACTGAGGTCAGGAGGAATATTTTTGAAACCTCTAAGCATGAAGTGCCTGCCAGTTGTTGTAACTGGAAGCGTTTTGGCAAAGGCTCAAAAGCTGGCTGATGCCAACGACTCTGCTCAAACCTTTAGGCCCTCCAGGGTCAGTACCCATTACCTAGCTCTTGTCCCAGAGTGTTCAGGCTGGCAGGGTCTTGGGGATCACTGAGCTATCACCCTCATCTCATATAAGAGGACTTGAGGCCTGGGATGGTCCTTTGGCCACCCAGTGCTGGGCAGAACCCTCCCAGCACCTGGACTCTTAAACTAGAAGCTGAGCTGTGCCATTTGGAATCTGCTCTACAAACTTCCCGGGCCCCTCCCACACCATACTACTTTCTGCTGAGGCCAGAGGGGACTTTAGGCACTTTTGCAAGTCAACTGAGCAGTCAAGGGAGGAGCGGCAGGGGCTGAAAGATGGTTTGATGTTTACCCTGCAGGAGACTGGACCTGCTCCACCCAGAACCCCTCTTTATGTTAAACCATGTGACATGTTTTATGGCAGTGACCCTGTATCAGGTCTGCCTGGCAAATCTACTTGGGATTTGAGCTGAAATAGAGAGTCTCTCACTCTTTTTAGAGCTGGCAACCTTCTTTTCTCCCTGGAAACCAGCTTTGGTAAAGGCCCACGTGTCCAGCCCTCTGTCCAGACAAGCCTGGGTGCGTTTGGATGCTAATGAGAGCCCCTCCTTCCCAGCTTGGGCCCTGATATAGCCTGGGGAATTCACACAAATGGTCTGAAATCTGCCCCTTCTTTGTTTTCCTTTCTGACTTAGAGCTATAGCAAACCTCTCACCTCCACCCAGACCTTGTTTATTCAACTGGGATAGATTTCACACCCCAAAACAGAATTCTTTCTCTGGGAGCCCCCTCCCTCATTCTGCACCACCATCCCACATCTCCCACCCAGGCACTGCCTGAATAATTGATGAGTCAAGGCAGGGCTTATAAAGGGGTCTCTAGGGAAAAAGCCAAAGGAGTGCTGAGGATTCTGAGAACTGAAAGAGCCTACAGCCTGTCTGGCTTGGTGTTCCAATGATGGACCCCGCTGTCCCTGATGCCTTGGCCACCCCTGATGCCCTTGCTGCTGCTCCCCCTCTCCCAGCCCCTGCCCAAGCCCCTGCCCTAGAACAAATCAATGAACAAGAAGCTTCTGGTAGTGAAAGGTAAGTGGAATTTGGCATTTGACAGCCTGAACTCAGGCTTAGGGAGATGGGGGCAGGAAAAGGTGAGATGGCCTCTATGGTGGTGTCCCTGTTCTCTTTGAAGGGGACAGACAGCAAAGAGCCACAGTCCTCCCTCTCTACCTTTGGCTTTTGGAATAGTTCACCTCATTTATCACTCCAGGTGATAAGAGGGGGCAGAGAGACTGTGAACATTGCCAATGCTAAAAGCCTAACCCTCATGGGCTGGTCTGTACAATTCACTGGGGGAACAGGAGAGGCTGCTGTGGAAATTAGGCTTAACGCAACCTGGACTATGGGCCCTAGATGGTGGCAGGTGACATAGAGTGAAAGGGCCAAAGTCTAAAGAGGCCTTTGGTTGGGGTGCTTACTCTGACCTGACCATGCTACAAGTTACCTATTTGCTTTTCCTTGCCTCTGCAAGTCTAGAGGAGAAGCAATGGGCCCAGAACCTGTCTGGACCCTTTCTCCAGCTAGGAACATGGTAGGTTTACATTCTCTACTACTTGATGTCAGAGGTAGGTATTAAGATACTCCCTATACAACAGCCATTCTCTCTTTCAAACATCTCATATTCATTTGCTTAAGCCTCTCCTTTGCACAAGGCATTGTATTAGGGGTTAAAAATTCAGATATGCCTATACATATCTTTTAGCTTAATGGGGACTCAGGCAGAAGATCACAAAACAGTGGTATAAGAGCAGTGATAACATTGTCGGAGTAGAGAGGAGGTGGTATCTGTTATAGCCTTGGCTCCATGGTAAGGAGACAAAAGGTGTCCTGGAGCAGATGGCTTGTGAACCAAACTTTGAAGAGGCCACTTCTGTGTTCAGGGGAAGCTTGTGTTTAGATTTCTTCTTTTGCAAACATATTCCTTCTCTTCACCATAGAGGAGCTTGTCTTTGGAGACCCTGGCTGCCTTCCATAAATGACCAACCAAGGCAGGTGAGAAATCTGGTGGACTGGGTGAGGGTGAGGCCTCCTATCACATTTGCATAGACACTTATGCCCTTGACCCTTCTCAGAAATCCCCAGACTCCAATCCAAAGTTGCCAATCTGGGGCAGAATTTTGCCAAATCTGCTACTATTTCATCCCCACAGCAACTCTGGGAGGAAGGCAGGGACAAGGTTTCCATGACAAATGAGACTAAGAGATCAAAGCATAGAGTGAGTAAGGGATCTGGGCTGGACTCACAGGCAGTGTGTGGTAGAGCTGGTGCTGGAATCCGGGTCTCATGGTACCTTACCCCATCTCTCTCTCACACTTTTACCTTAATGTTTTGTTCTTTAACAGAACTCTGTCCCCTGGATAGCTCCCAAACAGGCACTGAAACAGGGTCAGGAAGGAAAACAACCCCTATGACCCTTTCTACTTGTTTTTTAACCAGATCTAAGACAGACCCCTTGCTCTAGGGCAGGGCTGGGAGGTGGCTGGATTCCAAGAGAAGCCTAAAATATTTTGTAGACTGTCAGAACCTGCAGGTTTCTGACCCTTGATACGGGAGAAGCAGTTAAGCCACATGCTAGCTTTTGCTTTGGACAGACTGCTGGTGGGGTAACAGCTGCTGAGGCCACCAAGACTGACTCCCAGTTTCATCACCCTGTCAGGTAAGCTTCTGGTGTTCAAGTCTGAAATGTGACAGTCACAAGCACTATGTATGCTCATGACAAGGCCATGATGCAGGAGGAAAGAGGCCATGGGACTTAGTTAGTCGAAGTGACTTTCCCCAGAGGTCTTCTCTGTCACTGAACTCTAAGGAAGAAATCCTTTGACCCCCACCAATGAAAGTTTCCTTAGTAGGAAAAGAAGGACTGAAGGATGGAGTGGTTAATGGTGACCCACCCTGTACTGCAGCTCTAGGCCGGTCATAGGTGATGTTCCTTCCTGGAACCATTTTGGAACAATTGCAGAGGTTCTGTGACGAAGCCCCTTTCCTTTCCCTCTCAGTCCTTTATTGTAGCTAGTGACTTGATTCTTTATTGGCCTTACTGGTCACTACATTTGAAAGTTGCCTATGTTAGGTTTCTGTTGCCTAAGTTGCCTAAGTTCTGTTTCTTCTCTGTCCACAGGCTCTTCTGGCCCAAGTCTCGCTCCTTAGACTACATGTACAGTGCTGGGGAGATGTTGCTACAGAATTTCCCTGTCCAGGCCACCATCAACTTATATGAGGATTCTGACAGTGAAGAGGGTGAGAAAGACAAGGAGGACAACGAAGATGAAGAGGTCAATGAAAGAGGACCAGAAAAGTGTGTGAGGGTACCAGAGGCCGAACCACACCAGGCCACAGCTAATTATCCTAACCCACCCCTGACCTGTCCAAATTGAAGCAGTCCCAGTTATGCTTGGCAGGTTTCCAAAGGCATTGATTAGCACAGAGTCTCCAGGCATGGTTTTTCTGGACTCAAACCAGTGTCCTCAGGCTGTCTAGCTCACCCTGGTTTTTCTGATCAGCCTGACAGTCTAGACCTCTGATATGCTCTTGTCTGGGCTGTTCTTGTGCCAACAGTAGGAGGTTCCTAAAACCTGTTGTGAAGACCAGATTTGTGAAGCCCTCAGGAAGTAGAGCAAGGCCGGGGATGCCTTTGTATAAGAGAGCAGTCACTACCCAAGGACCTTTGATTTCCCAGTTTTCAAAGACACCAACACCAGATCCAAGAAAAAAGGAAAGGGAAGGGAAGGGAAGGGAAAGGAAGGAGACATCTTGAGAATTTGTTTCTCTGGGGACCTTCGTCCTACTTTGCCTACTATTCATTCAGACTGGGTGTTAGCCTTAGATTCATTGGGAAAAAAATAAATGGTATGTTTGCCTTTTTCTTGGAATTGTGTTGATTTCTTAACTGAACTCTGCCCGTGTTTTGAAGCCATAGGCAGAGGGTCAGAGATTAACTCAAATCCGATCCATTGCTCTATCTGGGGTCAGATGACAAAATTTTCTCTTCTGAAAATGTAATGATGGGGACAGATTTTCCAGGCCAGGTCTTCTTGGTTCAGTTGTGAAATCAGGTTTAATTAAACTTCAAGGGCATCTTAGAAAAGGAAGGATAAAGCCCCCCACCCCCCGCCAGGGCAGCTTGGGAGTTGTGGGTAAAGAATGATGACTCGGGTAAAGGAGAGAGGTGTTTTCTCATTTAATCTTTGGGGGCTGCTGTTCCTATGAGGAGGCACACTTGAACACCCAATAAATCCTGTCAGTTGTATCTCTTTGGTTCCCTCAGTATCTATTGTAGATAGCTCGAGCTATGTTAACCCTGTCCCATTTACTCTTCAACGATTTTTCTTACTTTTAGCTTGTTGTTTCACAATCTGTCTGCACACTGGCCACCAAATCAGGTCATGGTCTTGCCTCACCAACAACTAGACTTATGGCTTATGGTTTGTTCTTTATTTGGGTCACAGATTACCATGAAGCACTATGGCTTCTTTACTTCGGAAAGCACATGCTTGGATACAGATATCCAATGCTCTATATTCATGACTCAAGTCTTTACTGTGCTGTTTGGCCTTTTTTAATCACCTGCTTTTGTGTTTCTGTCTTTGTCTTGTTTTGTTCTTCACTGTGTAGACAAAGCTGGACACAAACACACAGCAATCCTCTTGCCTTAGCTCTCTCTGGGATTACAGGTGTATACCTGCTGCTAACCATCGATTTCTGCCTGTCTTTGTAGACTCATCTCTTTACCCTCAAAATTTGTTTTGCTTGCCTTTGAATGTGGCATACATTCTAACTCTTCTGTGCCTTTAAACTGCTTACAATGGCTTTCCACTCTTATAGGCCATTTGAACTCTCATTCGCTCAATAGACATGACTCACACTATTGTTCTATGGGTAGGCGTCCCCAGGCTCCAGAGCCCAGGTTGAGTAATCTCACACACCCACTGTCTTGTCTATGATAGCATCTCCTTTCCCTATGCAGGAGCTTGTGTTTGACATCCCACACATCTTCCTTGTCTAGTGTTCTGCACAAAAGAGGGCTCGCTCAGAAAATCACACAGGAAAATCCTCAGCTGTTCTCAGAGCAGCTCTTGAGATAAGCACTGGTGATCCACTTTCTGGAAGCTTTCTTTAACCAAGGATGGGAAATGCTAACTGCATCTTATTGAAAAGCAAAATGGTGGCTCTTTTTCCTTTCCTTTCCTTCCAAGATAGTTCTGAACCCTATCTGGGACTTCTCTAAATGGGATGGACATTCTGGGGAAAGCCACCAAACTCATTCACTGGTGCCATCTGTCAGTTCAAACTGACCCTTCGTCTTGGATGAAGGCTATCAGGCAACTGAACTTTGACCACTTGAGTTCCTTCAGTCCATTCTTTTTCTTCTGGTACATGAAGTGGAATCTCCCAGGAGACAGACGTTGTGTGCTCTGAGCTCCTGTCTCTTTATTCATGTCATGAGGAAACTGGTGACAGTTGCTGTCAGTGTGGCTGTGCAGATTCAGTGAGATAGAATAAAGAGAATAGCTCAGGCCCTGGCACACAGGGTGACTTCTCACAAGACAGCTGTAGTCATGGTGATGACGTCTGTACTAGGAATTATGGATAGGATAAAAGAAATGGGCTTCCAGGCTTGAGGATGATAGTGTCTGATTTGTTTAACTAATGAGTATATCTGAGGCCTATTTTGGTTAATATTTGTCATTATTTGATGGTTTACCATTCAAAGAAAATCTTTCAGTGTTTATAAACAATTATAACACAAAAAAGGCCAACTGTGGCTTGCTGGACACTATATATTTAAATGGTCCTTAGCTGTGAGGTTCATTTGTCCTGGGACAGAGGTCTTAAAACTCGACAGTCTTTAACAAGAAACCTTTTCTTCTGAATTGAATGCAGAAGTCTAATGCATAAATCAGAGAAAAATGGAGTTGCCCCAGGGAAGCCAAAAACTGAACTTCGAGGTGTAGTAGGAGGGCAGAATCCGTCCTGTACTGTACTCTCTTTAAGAAAGCTTTTTTCGTTTTCTTTTGGAAACACCTTCAATGATCCACAGACTGTGTGGAAGACAATTTGGAAATGCTGTCCCAAGGGTAAAAATCAAGAATGCTTTCAAACTGAAGGAGGATTAATTAGTATTTTAACATGTCCAGTGTTCCGTTTAAAATCTTTGTTTTGAGTCCTAAGCTCCTAGCATTTCATAGCTCATAAATTGCTCAAGTTCTTCTTCTACAATAGGTTATAAGGATTTAAAATCCTTGGAATGCCAATATCCTTGGTTTTAAAGTATTATATAGCATAGAATTATGAAACTATAAATCCTTATAGGTTTAAAGACCCTAAAACCCTTGGAGTGGTAATTCCTTACTCCAGGGAGCGCTTCTCAGTCTCCTTCCCTCCCCTGTTATTGTTCACATGCTGTTTACTGGACTGACATTTTGTCTTATGTTCCTCCCAGTCTTGTGTCCTGAAATGGCGTCCAGTCCTTCCTCTTGCATGGTTGCTTAGTGACTGGAATTTTCTGTTCTAACTAGGCAGAGCCAGTGAAGCCTTACTTTATAACAACTACAGTGCCACAGCATAGATTTGGGAGAAAAAAATCTGCAAAAAACCCAGAGGATTTCTAGTTCCTCCTATTTGTCCCACCCTAGTGCTCCATTCACTATCACCCCGACATGGATCGTTCCCTATTTGGTAATAACCCTCCTTGAAGGTGAGACTGTATTTGAGCTGAGCCTTGAAATATGGACACTGATACAACCAGTGCCAGGGCCCAGAGAGATCAAAATATTAAGTAAGGTTACCATGTTTTTAAAAAATGAACGAGAGCAGGACATGGTGTCAAAAGCCTTTAAATCCCAGCACCCAGGGAGGCAGAGGCAGGCAGAGTTTGAAGCTAGCCTTGTCTATAAAGTAAGTCTAGGACAGCCAAAGGCTACACAGAAAAACTCTGCCCTGAAAAAAAATGGATCGAGAGTTGTGGAAAAAAATAGATAGGGAGGTGGGAAAGATATGGGAGAATTTGGGAGATGGGAAAGAATATGATCAAAATTTATATTGTGAAATTTTAAAATAAGAAACCTCCAACAATTTTAAAAATTAATTGAAGGATTTTTACTTGCAATTATTATCAATGCACCATGGGAATGCATTGCCTGAAGAGGTCAGAAGATCCATAGAGCCCCTGGATCTGGAATTACAGACAGTTGTGAGTCACCATGTGCCTGTGTGCAGGGAATCAAACCTGAGTCCTTTAGTAGAGCAGCCAGTGCTCTTAACAACTGAGCCATCTTTCCAGCCTCGGCCCAAATTTTGACTACCAGAGCCTGGGGAGGAGAAGGGACAAACAACCTAGTCTAACTGCAGAGGTCCAGTTGAGGGTGTGTGAATGGTTGGTGATACCACTGAGCTGGACAAGGTAAGGTCTTTGCATCTGGAAGCACACAGATGGTACAGTGACTGGGGGGCATGGCAGAACCACAAACAGTTCTTGAAGCGTTAGAAAGCAACAGGCCTGGAGACTCAACAACTCTGAGGGATGGGTGGTTAGGGAAGCGAAGGCTTACAGTGGTCTTCTCAAAAAGCCAATAACCTGGACACTTGTTAAGTGCCGAGTTCTTCATATAAATCGCCTCATTTAACCCTTACAACACCCCCCAAGTATAACAATCATTATCACCCTTATTTTCTAGATGAGGAAACGGCAGTTCATAGATAATGAGGAATGTGTTCACATTTACATATATACTAAGTAGTTAAGCAAAGCTTTGAGGAACGACAGCCTTTGCCCGCCGTTACAGTGATGACAAGTGGTAGACGTAGGGTTTGGGGCCCTCAGGTCTGAAGCCCTGTGCCTCCAGGAGGTGAAATGAACAGGCCTTGGCAAAGGTTCAGTCCTGTGGGAGGGCCAAGAACACAAAGTTTAAGTTCTGCCTGGAGGGAAGTGAGTCAGAGGATGTGAAGAACTCTGGGCCAGTAGCCAGAAAAGCTAAAGGCCGCTGAGAGGAATCACAGAAGAAGGGACTTTTGTGATCTGGTGCTGGACACAGAGAAACAAGAACCCTTCACTCTCTGCTCAGAAAGAGCCTCAACAAAACCCAGCAGGATGGGTGACGTCGTCCTCCTGTACACATGTGTTTGACTCAGAGAAGTGGACTGGCCTGGCTGATAGTCACGCAGTGAGACAGCTGGAGACCTGTGACAGTGTGACTACAGAGCCTGACTTGTCATTACTGGCGTCCTCTCTCCATTCCTCCAGGGAAGCCCCTAAGAGTCCTGCAGGCAAGCTGCCTCCTACACACTACAGGGGAAAAGTATGTAAAGTGTCGCCTGTGCCTGTCGTTGGTGATACCTGAAGCCCGAGGGGAAGTGTGGATTGTAAAAGACTGAGAGTCAACCCTAGAACTGGAATCACAAGGTGTGAACAGCCGTCCCCAAGCTCCGGATTCAACTGGTATCCATTACCAGAAAGAGACACAGCACCCTCTCCTGGCTGAGCTCTGAACTTGCAACTTTGCGGTTCTAGCTTGCTCTTACTATGATTACCGTGACAATCTGCATGTGTTTTCTGAGTGAATGAAAAAAAAGTGGTTACAGGTTTGTCTGTCACAGTAAAAATTCTAAGAAACACATTCAAAAATCTTGTTCAAAGAAGGTATACGTGAAAGCGGAAGAAAATAACATAAAAGGAGAAAATATCACCATAAAATAGCTTTTTCTCCATGGGGGAGAAAGCTACACATAAAATATTAAGAGCTTGCCACATGAGACTAGGACTGAACCATTAATATTTAAATAACCATTTTCAATGGTTCAGTAGGGCAACTGGTTAAAAACAACATAAAATTGTAGCCTTATAGGCAT